GCCGTCAACACAGGCTTCCTGTCAGAATGTGTCAACCATTCCTCCGTACAAGTCAACTCTAAAACAGAGAATGAGGTCAGTAAATGCAGCACTTAATTAAAAACCTAAATGCATACAGTATCACTAGCTGCCTTTCATGCCAGTTTTAGAGTAAGATCAACTCGGGTTGAGAATTGAGGAAGTTATAGCTGTTTTGGTCAAAACTTGAAATAAAATCTCTTAATGTTACAGAATGTTGTGAATGTCTCTCAGCTACTGCTCTGTTTGCTAAATATCTGTTATGTGTTAATTAGTTATTTACTGTAGGCGTATTAATCCAATGACCACTCTTTAAAGATTCATTAAAATCTATCCATTGATTCATGTGATATTTTTCTAACAATCTCAACTATCAGACTGAAGCTTATCTGAATGTCTGTAAAACAAGTAGAGCTGCAGCTCCTGTCAACTTGCCATAATTTGTCCCATCCTGCCATCTAGTGTTGGATACTGTTATTACAAGTGTATTATTAGATTTATCAAAAAATATACTGTACATTTATGTTTATWATAGCTACATCTGAGACTTGGTTAGGCAACATCAACACATGCARTTCCAGATTATTTTGTGTCAAAGTGCTTCTGACCAAATAAATACATAAATAAAATATTTTGTCCAGATTAGAGTATGTTTTGATCAAGTCATTTATATATGATGTGAAATTATTCTGTAACCTCTTGACTTATTACAGAGGACTTGATTCTAACATTTAGTCCAGAGGACCTGCTGGCATTTCACATTAGTTACCGTACTTGTCTCACCATTTGCACTCAAACTGAAGGCTTTTTAAAAATAAAAATAAAWCATTTTTTAATTGAATTCACTCAGTTTGGCACATTTGGCTGTTTTTTTCCTGCTTTTTAATTCTTTACTTTTCCATACCCTGTTTTAATCAGCAACAAATAATAGCATGACATTATATCCGTTTAACACCAGGCTTGGTGGTCCATAACCCCAGTCTGGATCACCAGAAACTGAGCCTGGATGTATTCTAAAACAAGGTAAAAAAAATAATAATGTGTGGATGGACTTTTATACTCACCTGAAAGTACAAACATCTTGATCTTGATGATTCTAGTTTGCAACAACAACAATCCAGATGGCTTTAGTAAAGTGTCTTTTTCATCAAAAACCCTAAAGTTAAAGTGCTATAAAAACTGATATGTAATAATATCCAATTTTATACAACTGAACCCACATCTTTTTATTGCAACACACACACACAAAAAAAAAATACAAAGATAAAGTCTACTAGAAAAACCTTTTAATAATGGTGCACAGAAAAGTGTAAATTCTGGGATAAAATACGTTTATTTGTAACAATAAATAACACATCTATACTGTATATGTACAAGTGAAAACTCCACTGATTTAAAAAAATAAAAGCCTGAGCATCAGAGTCGAGCCCCAAACAAATCTTTGTGACCAGTTTTGAGTCATTGTGGGCTCAGGTGGTCTTGGAGCCATGAAGTCTCTGTGGCGCATGTTTGAAGGAGTCCAGGTGTAGCACTTGGTGGTACCTTGGTCAGAGTACAGACCGGTACTTACATGCAAACATGAGCCACACTGCACACGCATTCTCAGGATATACAAACACCCGAACACGTACAGCAAGTCTCACGTGGTCGCCCCGACAACTCACCACTTCCTCACAAAATGAAGACCTGTTAGATGAAACAAACAAACAAACAAAAAGTTAAAATTATTTTTTTAAAGAGAAGTTTAATGTAAGGTTACGACAGGTAAGTAAAGAAAGGAGCTGTTTACAGGACCACRTTTGTTGGTGAAGTGATGTCATGTTTCTCCACTCTGCTGTACACCTGTTAGTCAGGTGAGGTTCACTGACCTGCTGCTGTGGCAGCAAGTGTTTTAAGTTACATTAAAGGTCAACCAAGTCACTACAGATGAAATCAGAAAACCCATGAATCTGATTCAGACATCTGTCAACACTAAATTGAAAGAGTTTCCGATGTGCAGTTCTGTATATTTATATTGGATTTTCTTTATTCTAAGCAGTGATATTTATTACTTTTCTTAATGAGTCAGGATTTGTTTACTCCAATTCTTTGTCCTTAAAAATTGTGTGTTTGTGTTGAATTTATATTCTTGTATTTTATTGTTTGTTAAACATCATTGCCAGGGGACTACAGATGGAAAAAAAAAACTTTTTGGCAAATTCTGGGGTTTTTTACCTTACGAATTGTCGTGTCTCTTTATAAATAAATAAATCAAACGGGCACTGACGCCTCACAGCAAGAAGGTCCTGGGTTCGATCCCCGGTTCGGACCTGGGGTCTTTGTGTGGAGTTTGCATGTTCTCCTCGTGCTTGTGTGGGTTTTCTCCAGGTACTCCGGTTTCCCCCACCCCACAAAAACATGTACAATAGGTTGTCTTCAGGCCCAGGCCTCCCTTGAAAAAGAGATCTGTGATCTCAATGGGACTTGCCTGGTTAAATAACAGTAAATAAATAAAATAAATTCTGATTTTTCAGAGATGAGGGCAGCTGATGGACAATTTACAACAGATATTTATTTTTGGTCAACGTGAATTTTTATTTATTAAAATATAACAAAACTTATAACTTTAAATAAACATATTTAACAACCCCTAGAAGAACTTGCTGAGTTTAAAACTAAACAGAAGAGGATTATTGCTTACAAAACTAAACTGTGGGTTAGTTAGCTTGTAGCTTTATTTTTCTATGATGATGAAATTGTAGCAACATGGTCGACTGCTGAGGTTTTAATAAGTGGGTTTTCTCCAGGTACTCTGGTTTCCTCAGACCAAAAGCATGTTGGGTTCATTGGGAACTAAATTATCTCTAGGTGTGAGTGAGAGAACAGTTGTCCTGTTTGTGCCCATGTGTCCCTGTGATGGACWTCWGACCTGTCCGAGGCGTCTCCTGACTGCTGGAGACTGTCAATAGTTACAGCCCTAAACTCAATGATTAAAAGATAATTCGAACTGCTGACATCCCAGACAAAAGTAGGGTATATTTMTACACACGTGCTGCTTTCCTGTGTGAAGGTTCATCTCACCTGAGGCAGGTGGCAAAAGCTCTCCGAGCGTTGCGGTGCAGGAAGTGGATGGGGAAGCCTTTGAAGGTGTGTCCGTCAGGGACGGCCCTCCTCACTGCGTCCTGGAACTCCTCGTTGCCGCAGGAGACACCGGTGCATCGCTCCATTTCATAGGCTGACAGGGCTGAGGACAGCAGGTAGGACAGGTGGTCATCCCACACTGTTGCCAAGTCCAGGTCCTGGAGGGGACAACCCCGCAGAGCTCGTTAGGTGCACGGTTATGTTTTTAAAACAGATGCCAGAATTGTTTTTCCTATTAAAGTGGTGGTATTATGTATTTTCCAGACACATAGTTCAGTTCTATACCAGAAACAAGTAACTATGTTACCTTCAGTTGTTGTGAAAATGCTGTATATATCAAAAATAAATTCAACTCTGCATCTAAACACGTTGAAATTGACCTCTGTATCTTTAAGAACCTCCTACCGTTTCTGACACTGCTACTTCAGCAAGTCTTCACAACAATGTTTCAGGGGAGGGGAACTCTGTGGGGCAGGAGCTCTGCTGCAGAGGAGCTTTGTACAAATAGGCGGAGCTTTGTACCAGCAAGTATTTAGGCAGCTTCACATGCTACAGGAGATTCATGGATTTCTCCAACATGAATGAATGAGTCAAAGCAACACTCTGGGTATGTTTTTGATGAGGGAATGATATTATAACATGAAATAAAGCTCTAAAAAATACATTTTGCATAATAATCCCATTTCAGTTTTTAAAATATGTAATTTTTTGGTATTTTTTATAGTTGCCATGAAAAAAAACAACCCAGGATGGGTTTGCATAGTTTTGACTTGTGAAAGTTTTTCTCAGCAGGTTTCCTTCCCAGCACAAACCAGGAGAGATAAACCTCATCTAAAAGTCTGCACTCTCTCCACCCTCGTGTTTTACCTTCCTGTGTTCGGAGACCAAGTAGCGCATCTCCAGCTCCAGCTGGTTGCTAGCTGCAACCGGATCCAGAGATGGGGCACAGAGAGGGGGCACGGGGGGCAACGAGGCAGTGGAGCCCGGGGCGCACACAGACTTCAGAGCCTCTTCACTCATCGCCTTCCAGCGGGACGGATTCTGAAGGAAGAAGAGGGGAAAATAAGCTCTCACACACACACACACACACACACACACACACACACACACACAC